TGATATATATATTGATTTGTGGCATTAAAATTAAAAATGATTAATTTAATAATATACTAGTATTATTATTTTGACAGTATGTCTAAAAACCTAAGTTAAAATATAATAGGGGCCTATTCATTAACGAACATGGCGTTCCCGATCCCGGAATTTTTCCAAATTATTATTGTGACACGTGACAGTTAGTAACGCAGTAGATTATGCAAAGAAGAAACACGATATATTTATACATTTTAAATTCAAGATGTCAGCAGTACATATTAAGCTAACAATGCCAGTTTACAGTCTGCCTGAAATGTAATTTCATTTTGTTTTTCTTTTTATTTCACCATCTGGAGGCGATTGAATTTTAAATAGAAAGAAAAAAAAACATATTGCAAAAAAGAAAAAAAAAACATTAAAAAATACTGCATCGTCGATAAATTAAGCTTATATTTCAATACAAATACGTATTAAAAATAATTCTATTGGCTATAGATGTCTAATTCAAAAAAGGTATTGGAATGTCATGACCCATTTTTTAAAAATATTTATTATCTATGTCTTTCAGGCGATGTCATTCTAAGAAGACTTTTACAGGCTTACGGTTGAAATGTTTAATACAAATTTGATGTACTGTATTGAAAAACTTCTGAACAGTTTACAGTCATAATAAAACAGATTTGAAGAAATAACTCAATGCAGTACAATTAACATGCTGCCAAAATTCACATTCCAGACAATGCTGCACTGCACTTATATTTTGTAGAAATCTGATATAAGTAACATTAAACAAAAACAAACTGACCAGGATGACTTACCTTGTCAAAATAGCTTAATTATTTTCTTGTATAAAGGAAAGGCTTGTGTGAAGATGCACTCACAACCTGTTGGGAGGAAACATTCGTTTCAAGGCGGTCCTCCACCAAAATATTCTACTGTGGTTGACTTCGATGGAACAACAAACTTGCTAAAAGTTGGTGTATCATGTAGCGATAGTGCAATAAATGAGGAGCATTGTTATGCACCCAAAAAACCAGCACGGCTTCCAAACGGACAGGGGACATCTGTGGACGATTGTCGGAACATACAAAAACCGCCAAATAGGAAGAGTATTAAAAGTGCAGAGCTAAGGAGGAAAAGTGAAGCGTCTTGTAATTTGCATAAAGACAGTGAACTACAGAATGAGCAAAACCGTGACGAACTTAGGCGTAAAAGTGACGTTATAATTAGGAAACGTCAGTTACCCTCGGTTTCACAACGTGGAAAATACATGTCAAAAGACTCTGGTGTTTTAACACATCAACGGAGAAGTGTTGTTCATGTTTCCGGTGGAAGTAAAAGGAACCGTAACGTGACGTACAATACGTTACCAGGCGGGAATAGGCGTGCTGTAACAAGTCAACCAATGTCTAGCACGTTTCCAGGACCTACTGAAAATCCTGATTGGCCAGTTTTGAATGAAAATGAGAGTGAAAATAACGGAAATAATTCTGTGTTATTAAAAACAGGAACTTATGGAGTACCATCAGTAACAGAAAGTGTAAAAGGGTTTATGAAAGTTTTATACATTCCATTTCAATGCTGTCAGAAAAAGGTACGTTAATAATGTTGTACTGTGTTGTATTGTGGTTTATAGACAACAGTGCTAAGAGCGTGGACGGTAGATTGTACCTATCACTACTGTCCATGAACAGACTTAATCAAACATTTTAAATTTTGTTGTTTTGGGGTACCTATAGGGATTCCATAAATGGTGCAGTTATATCTTGGTTTACTTTAAATCATCGATTTATACCATGTCATTATGCCTTTTAATAAAGAAGAAAAAAGTAAGGTGTAACGCATGTAACCGGTTATAATTTTTGGTCATATGTTTTAATTTATGGTTGATTTTGAATGTTGTAAACAAGTGTAAAATATTGTCAAATGACGAATTTTCAAACGAAGCAGGTACATGTACAGTACGTGCAAACAGTATTGCATACACAAGAAAAACAAAGATGATTTATTTTTTACTTTTTTTATTCGTCAATGTTATTGACTGAATTATTATGTATATACCATATTTTTTTTAGAATTACACGGTCATTCCTATCGTCAGTCTGATTGCTTGTTTTAGCAGCATGTTTTGGATTCTTGCTAAACATGAAATTTGCTTAGATAAGTATACGATATTTTCATTAGAAACCGTTTTATAAACGTCAAGTCACTCTTTGATATAGCTTCCATCACGAGATTTCCAACAATCAATACGACAAGAATCCATAATAATGTCAGAGTATATTGCTGTATGTTTTAATAACCAATTGTTTAAAAATCGTCTGTCGTTTATGTTTATTTATTGTAAGTGGTAAATAAAGCAAACAATTATTTTTCAGGCTTCTTATTTCGGTTCAAAATTTAACATTAAAATTAACAATATTAGAACACTGTCTGGAAGTCGGGGTTAAAATCAAATGAGCCGCGTCACGACTAAACCAACATAATGTGTTTGCGTCCAGCATGGATCCAGATCAGCCTGCGCATCCGCGCAGTCTGATCAGGATCCATGCTGTCCGCTTACCAACTCTATTACAAGTAGATAAACTGATAGCGAACAGCATGGATCCTGATCAGACTGCGCGGATGCGCAGGCTGGTCTGGATCCATGCTGGTCGCAAACGCACTATATTGGTTTTGTCATGACACGGCTCAAATACTAGTATGGAACATGTAAGAATCAAGTCTTTACCATTTTACTGATCGTGTTGATCATTTTTTCATTATTTGTTTTGTTTATAATGTCACTATAACATACCCGTGAATGTAGAATGATTTATCTGTTAAACGTTCTGCCTTCTGTAAACGAATAATCATTATTTCTAGTCATTTTTGTATATGCCAAATAGTCTAGATATCACTTTATATTCTGTATTTTCATTTTAAAGACAGCTTGTCAATATAAATGTATTGCTCTCCATGCTCTCAGACAGACTCAATCCAACCGAGTCTGCAATTTTTATATAATATTGTTCTTATCAAGCTTGCGAGAAATAGCCTTTTCCAAACTTTATACGAATATCGTCTTTACAATAAACAATAAAATAAATTTCACTTAAGCTTTGATGACATCTTTGAGTCGATTGTTTCTATACGTGCAATGTCAAACGTAAAAAAATATTTCATCAAAGCATCCTACAAACTTTACAGGTACAAATATGTAGCTGTTAAAACTTGCAATAGAAGCTTGACATTATGAGAATTGTTCTATTTGTTGAGAATATCGAGTTGGTACTCATACTGATACAAGAAATGCTATTCCTAAAGCAATACGATTGCGCAAAAACCTAAAAAACTTGTACTTAAAAATTAAATTCGATATTTATTTTCAAATAAAACTCTATGCTTAGTTTCAGTTTCGCTAATGTTGATTCCGTTTGCCTTCAATAAACAAGATCAATCCGATCGAGTCTGCAACATGATGATTGTTTTCCTTTTTTCGGGTGTTCCTTCAAGCTTTCATTTCTCCTTAACTAACCCTCTAACTGCTTTATGATTTATGACGCCAAAGTGTTTGGTGCACATAGTTGATATAATGTTGTTCTAAAGCACTTGCAAGAGAAAGAGACGACATTTTGAAGGCAATTTAAGAAAATCTCAAACTTTTTGAATACAAATATATGTTAGATTAAAAACACAAATTTCCCTAATACAAATTATTTTCTGGGGAAGATTCTTAACAATTATTTATTTATAATCTAGCATACATTCATTGGGTTTTTTTTTATCTGCTACTTTAAGATATGTGATACGTATCGTATATCTAACACTTACGGACAACATATAATTATACTTTTTATGTGTTGTGTTGTCGAGTATCATGTTCAAAGCTATCAGCGGGTGTATAAATGGTATAACAGACCTTCCGTTACGATCAAAACCATGTTAATGATCAACGTTTTTTTGTCCAATCACATTGTAGTATTTTTCAAATTTCTGCTAAGTCTTACTAAAATTTAGTTAATCTGTTGTCTAACCAGTCTTACAAATTTCAATAATGTATAATATTAGGGAGGAGTTAGAGGTGTGGTTTGCACTCTGAATTTTAAAATATCTAGGTTAGTGAAACTATGCCAACGTATAAAAAATAGGCGAGGTCAGGGGTTTCTTAATGTGAGGATACAATCAATTAATTTATTACATAGATAAAACATGTGGGACATGCAGAGACAAATGATTACATAGTAACTTTTTTATATCCTTTTAATTCTTAAAAATGTCTGTTATAAATTGCTGACTCTTTTAAACTTTATATTTTCTAGAAAAAGTAACCAAAACATTATTTTCTTTCACTTGATAGGAATGAACTGCATTAACAATCCTTGATATTAAGATACAATAATTACATTTTTGGCGGAAAACTCATTGAAAATGGACCCCTCCACCTGTTAACCTAATCTTTTGACACAAAGAAAAATAAAAAGAATGAACAGTTTTTCAATTGACCAAATCAATAGGGATTTTAAATGTTAGTGAATAACTTGAAGCTAATAACGAGTTTGTATCAATTAATAATCTCTTATTTATTTTTCTCACATTTTCAATTTATTTTAAAAGGATTTACACATTTCATTAACTGCAATATTTTTATCTAATTGCATCGTTTCCTCGCGTTTTTTCCAGTTATTTTATAGAAACATGATAGTCTTACTGTAGATAAAGGTATAAATTCTGTGACATTTCAGTAAAAAATGTGCCTGATTATATGTTGAAAGGGCCATTTATTTAGCTTATCTAAATGTGACATGCTAGAAACTTGACAAGGTGTAGACATCTTGTAGAGCGAAAGGTTGGAGCTATCGGTGATTTAGAGAAATGCCTTGTTTATGGTTGAAAAAAATAATGTTGATCATTAAATAGGTTAATGTTTAATAATACGCATTAACAAAAATAATTGGTCGCCTCCCATCTATTTTTGAATGTCCATTGTGTAACAATATAAGGTCATTTATGTTAAATATGTCATGATAAAGAACAGATTCTCTTAAAATTTTATTTTTTCATGTTATCAATAAAAACAGACAAAAGAAATATAAATTGTGCAACATTTATACTGTGTAATATATAAGATTAAAAGAGCTTTTTGTAGTTAAATTATTGAATTATTTAATCCTTTAAATTTATTGTTGCAGTTCGTCACCCTTGTTTAATTGTATTGCTGTTTTGTGTTTATTCGACCAGTGGCCTATATTTCTTGAAACAAAAGAACTTATTCGATGTTAACCGAAGTATTGTGCTTTTGCTTCCTCGGTAGGCTCCCAGCAGGATGCGTTGGAAACTTTGCCGGTGAAGCCTTGCAAAAGAACATCCGCTTGACATCGTTTCTGTAATTAATTTAAACAAACTGTGTTAATTTCTCCATCATGTGTTGTTTGTTTAAGAAGACATATTACGTATTCCATTATGTGGTAACTATATTGTACTTACTCGTATAACTAACCAAGAAACAAAAATTAGCTCAAACAAAGAAACGAAATATACTGCATCAGAACAAAAATGTTTTAATGTTAACAATGACACCTGAATTTAACTTATTAATGTGTGTCGAAAGCTAACAGAAGCATAACTTATGAATGAACAATTGTATATTGAGTACTTGTTACAAAGATACTTCAGACGACAAAAAGTGATAATAGATCAAACAGCCTCTGGCTTTATATCATACAAAGAATTCATACATGATATTAAGTAATTAAATGATTTTTGATATACATTAAGAGAAAGTGTTATGTGCCATAAATAGTTCAAAGGTCTTTTACTACACGGTCTACATGAAAAAGTTGCATGACGTATTTCCAGTAAGAAATGATAAAATGGTGCAGAAGATAGCGTTTCTTTGTAAGAGGCAGATCACATACAGAAACATACTTTGATTGGTTGATAGCCTGTCATTATATGATCCTAAAGTCCATCAAATAAACCAACAAACTTTCACTACATATGAAATATAATACAATTAACAATACTAAAGAGTAACTTTTAACATACCAATATGCCATACTGACATCTAGCTTTGAATATGACCCGGTATTCGTCGTTTGGATGTTGAACCTGTAAAAGGTATAATGAATTAAATTCCAAATATTTTAATATTTGGTTTTTCATTTTCGGTACAAATTTTAACATGAGTATGAAACTGAAAGATAAGTTTCTATGCTAATGAGTTTGAGCTTTCGGGAAGAAATATCTCTGTGAACACAAAGCGTTAGAACACTTGACCTGTTAAGAAAGAAACTCTTGTTGCCAATACAAATCCATCACCATCTATTCTAACTTTTGTCACGCTAAATATGTAAAACTTGACTATCTGGACAAACACATTCATTGTTTTTAAGAAATTCATAAACAGCATGAACTGAATGAGCAATTTACAGCGCAGACTATGGTAAGATGTTGTGGTAAGCAGCTTCACAGATTGAAGTTCTAACAAATCAGTTTACAAGGTTAAAATATATGTTAACTATGTACTAATATATATAAACATATCAACATGCTCCGTGACAGGTATTTGATATGGTAACAATATTCGTCATATTATTTCAAACGTCTTTTCATTACCTTGTTATGTTTTTCAAACGTCTTTCATTACAAAAAAATCTTTAAACAATTTAGCAATATTATTAATGTACTTATCTAGACGATATAAAAGTTAAGAAATAAGACTTTAAAATGCTTGACTTTTATCATAAGAGAAATGTACGTTACAAACCAAAAGTGTTTCCTATTCTGGTGATATGATTTTTTCAAGACATATGAGCCGCACCATGAAAACAACATTATGCGTTTGCGACTAGCAAGGATCCAGACCAGTCTGATCAAGATACTTGTTGTTTGTTTACAAACTCTATAACAAGAAGATATACAGCTGATAGCGAACATTTATTCATCACACGGCTCATATATGTTTGCCATACACAAAAGTTATTGCTACTAAGTAAAAATTATACACTCTTTGTATAACATATGCATATTTCTAAATTGCTTCAATGTCAAAGTATGCAATTTCATCTAAATTGTATTTGTCATTTTCTTATGATTAAAAGAAAATAACTTACCTCCACATTTACCCATGCTTGTAACAGGCTGATATAATCAACTTCCAGAAATTTAGCAGCCGTACTTGCAGCTAAGATTGCTCTCTTTGCCAAAACAGAAATTGGTTGCCATTTTGTCGTCGGAGGAGGTGAAGATTCAACACAAACACTCAATAAATAGAGGACGCTTACGAAAAGTGCTACTTTCATTATCAAATTAAAACTGTTCAACAGGAAAAGCTGAATTACAATGATTCTTGAAGAACTTTTGTTTATATGCAGTTCAGCGAAATCTCTGACAACTTGAATGCATTAAATAATGATGTTTATTTCTTTCTAAGGTGTAACCAGAACTGCCAAAATAGCAATTTCAAATGATTTTAAACAAAGCCTTAATTGTAAACCAAATATAAAATTAAAATTGTGTTGTCATTATCTGAAACTTTAAGTATCTGCCAAAGACCTCAACGAACAAAATAATGATACATTTGCATAACTTATTAAATGTTGAACATATCATTCTTTGAGAATAAGCAACTGTTGTTTTGTTTTATATTTTCGCACATTTCTTTCAATGCTAAATTTCTAAAAAAGATATATCTGCACTGTCTTTGTATGAAATTCACTTAACAATAACAATTCTTTTCCTCGAAAATTTTACACGTTTTCTATCTCTTACAGTGACAAAATGTCTATACAAGTGACAATGGTAAATGTCATTGCAATAACTTTCAACTAATTTTCAAATGTATAATTAACAACACATTAAAAATAAAAGTATTATAACCACATGACCAAAAAAAAGCAAATTAAGATGTCCTTGTGAATTTATCGAAGCTTTCATTTTATTAAAATATTGTGGACAGTCATGTTTATAATTATGGCAGTTTATCCAAAATATTTGTCAATATTTTGGTCAATCGCCATAACAACAGGCAATCCTTTGAAAATATAATCAATTTTGTCCAAATTGATTAAAATTAGCATAATGTCATAATGTTATTATACCTTTATCATTTGTAGAAGCAGAAAAATGCATAATTTGTATATGTAGAACAACGTTTTTAAATTCGATGAAAGATTCAAAATTATTTACAGTTACTGTTCTATTATAAAACCTTTAAAAGACTAAAATCATGACTCGAATTTAAATACAGAATATAGAAGTTAAAACAAACAGTGTAAATAGAAAATGTTAAAATGTAATAAAAAGATCATCTACAAGTTGTTTACAAAGTCATCACCTATCTTAATTACGATTTTTCTTCGGGCGAATAAAATGGTAATAAGTATTACAATCAAAACAAAGCTCCACCTGAGTATCGAGCCTTGAACTGCTTGCACACAAGGAGAGTATAGGTATTTGTAAACTACTAGCCCACCTGAATTAAACATTGCAAATTATTCGTAAATAAAAGGAAAGTTTTTCCGAAAATAAGAGATTAAAAGTTCTTCCTCTTCCATTACAAATAGCTATTGACTGTAAAACATTGTTTAAGATTCAAACTGTAATGAGCCTGTTTCTTCACGCAGGTAAAGTCTGCAAAATAGTTTCATCTAAAAACGCTTTCTTTTCCTCTTTTTTTTTTTTTTTGTTTTTTTTGCAGAGAATCGCTCAGCGTAGATAGACCTTGTTTAGGCGCCAATATTTTCCTTGTTGTTATTCATAAGAATACGTCACTATTCCGAAGTCATCCGAAGCTAACTAATATCGTATGCACGCATATTTGTCCAAACAATTGAGTATTTTACGGCCAAAAAATCTTATACCCCGTTGAATCATTGCAACAAGACAGTGTCTATCACTGAATCAATCTGCGAGTATATAAGATGCATTTATGTACTTTATGTAGAATTGTATAGCAACAGCATTATTTTATAAAAGTACTGCCGTCTTGATAAGCACTAATTGGAGATGTCATAAATGGTCATTATGCCCCAGAAGTACTGCTATATTTATTTTACTTTTTTTTTTCATTTTATTGTTGCAGGTGTTCTGTTTATTGTTTCCAAAAAAGTTACTGATTGGCAAATGATTTTTTTTATTTCTTAAAAAAATATAGCATCATTTGCGTTCCTTACTTTTTAGACAAATTAAAAAAAATACAGGCGTTTGTTCTGGTTACAAATGTTATCACAGCAAAATAAAAATAAAATTTAAAAAATAGCAATAAAAAAAATAAAAGTTAAAAAGGATTAATTTAAACGTTGTATATTTGAATCTTAGAAAATAATAACTTAGCAAGCAACATTGTAACATGACATTTGTTTCTGAATTTAGAGAGAAAGTCTTCTATTTATATGAATCCTTGCAAATTTTGTGACAGATTGAATGTTTGAATTGTTATGAAATATGGTAAACAAGATCAACAAGGAAAGTTTATGTATCGGGAATTTCAAATGATTCTAAACAAAGCCTTGATTGTTAAACAAATGTGAAATAATTATAATGATACATTTGCATAACTCATGAAATGCCTATTATTGTACAATTATCTGTATTTTATTTTATCTGTTTTGAATATTTGTACATTTCCTTTAACTTTCAGTACTTGAAAATACATGCACTGTCTTTATAGAAGAACTATATGACAATAAAATGAAGCAGTCGTGTATATTTTATAATTTAATTATTTCCTCTTCAAGCGCGATATTATGTCCATCAAAGGGTAAATAGCTAATGTCAAATAAAAATAATTAATATTTTAGGACTGTACAAATATTAAACAAATTTAACAAATTACTTCTATTCTATGTGCTAATAATTTCACAAAATACAACGTGACAAGGACATCTCCACAAACGACTTTTATGAGAAACAACAAAAGTTGTTTTCTTAGAAAAGTTCAGGTTGAAAATCATTTGATTTATAAAACACGTACTATCAAATTTGAATATTTACAGTACATCAATTATAAAAGTAAACGAAAGCTGTTAGATAATTCTATGATAGATATTAAACAATTCTGGAATATATTTAAAAAAAATTGATTTTTTTAAAGAAAATGTACATTCTTTAATAATCTATAATGAAGGTTTGATTATTTATGGTGATTCTATTAATGCACTGTTCTTGGTCCATGTAAAGTATAATAGCTTCAATTAACGTCCCTTTATCTTTCTTAAAAATCAAACAAAGTATAGACCATTTACGTGCAACTAGATCTGGGTTTGATTGTGTTTACTTTCAATGTGCAGACGTGCAATTTGTATGATTTACCGTTTTAAGGCTTTTTTTGTAGTGAAGGGTTTGTAATTGGTATTTTTCAAAGATTAAAATAAAAAAAAATTATTTTTTAATACTCTATTTTATTTGATTTACAAGTGCTTATCAAAGAAACAGGGTATTTTCTATTATTTCGATGTGTATCTTTTCAGTAATTTCTTGCTCTTAAATAGGGTCTTTCAAATAGAATGGTCTGGAGTCGTACCAAATTTACGAAAAAAGTTGTCTCCGCTGAGTCAAGTGTTTATCAACCGACCGTGATCTGGCACTATACATCACAGTTGAAAATCAAATTATAAACTAACTTTTTGTTACGTCAATCAAAATATTACTGAAAACTAATCCTGGGTGCATTATACTAACAGTTTTTACTTTTAAAAGTATTTTTTTTTTATGGATTTGCAAAGAAATAAGAAATTTATCGTTCCTGGTGTCAAAGTAAAAATCTACTGCTATTATTTGAAAATAGGTCCAAGTTTCATAGGCTTTTTTTTTATTCTATGCAATGTTCAATGACACAATAGAAATTGATTTTACAGACCATTCTATTTGAAAGACCCTGTCTAAAACAATTTATTATCTGCTATATTTAGATACGTAATACCGTATCATATGTCTAACACACAATGTATACTTCTTTCTGGGTATTTTGTCTTGTATAATGTTAAAGCTATCAGCGAAGGTATAAATGGTATAACAGACATTCCATTGTGGTCAAACTCACTTTAACGCAAATGTTATTGTTATTGAGGACGAGTATCATTTATCTTGATTATATAATTTTAATTTCTCGTGTTATCAACAATAACAGAAAAATAGAAGTATAAATTGACGTTTTGTCTGTTGTAAATAGAAAATACAGACTTTAGTAATTGTGTAATATATTTTAAGAAATTAACGATGGTTGTTTTGGTAATTAGAGATATTTTAACAATTTCTTTTTATCTTTTAACTTAGATTGTACGATATAAAGATTTACGGTATAAGGAAAAAATTCAGTTCCAAAAATGACATTGATTATAAGATTTTTTTTATCATTACTGAAATCAAATGTAATCAACATAAACAACAAACTTGGGTATACAGTTTCCATATTAAATCGGATATTTTAACTTGCTTATTACGTCAAAAATATTATTAAGTAGAGACGCCTATAATAGGCGTGGATTTGCATGAACACAGCCTTCAAAGTGTCATCAAAATGACATTTCTGATGAAACATTGTTTCTTTATTTTAACATTATCTCCATTTTGTTCTGTTGAAGAAAACCAGACAAAATTTACAACTAAAAACGTTTAACCTATTTTATCGCCGTTCCTGTACGGCGATATATACAATTGACAGGATTTGAACAGTTCTACCTGTACACCGCCCGCCTTTAGCCAATCAAAGCGAATAATGCAGTATCACATAATTACAAAATGGGCGTTATAAACTTCAATGAGGGACGCTTAAATGGACTCGCCCAACCATGTTGGCGTGTTGGATTTTTTGAAAATGGCAGTTTCCATGGTAACCGTATATCTCAAAATTTTCAAAATAGCCAAACTGTGTTATAATAATGTATAAAATAGCTTATTACACTCACAATAAACATAAGTTTATACAAAGCTTGCTTTGTCTTAGGGTTCAGTATAAAACAAACGATAATTGGAACATATATTTCTTTAAAAAATAAGTTTTCATGCTTTTTACTTAACAAAAAAATGAGAAAAATAAACATGAATTCTGTAAAAAATTAAAGCTATCAAGAAATTTCTTTCATAGAATTTTCTACATTATTGATATATCAAGTAACATTTGATGGTGGATTCAAGAATAGAAATAAAATATATATGTTGAAGTGTTAGTTTTTTGTAAACGGGCAGTTTTCCATGGTTACTGCATATGCCAACTGACAAAATTACCACGCTTTCTTAAGAAATATCAGTGTTATACTAAATGTATTGTCAAATATACAACAAAAACATGTTGTAATAAAAATTTCTTTTTATTTTGATGTTATTGTAAGTAAATGATACTAAATATCTTTTAAAACATATCTAGGGCCATATTATTTTTTTCACTCGAAAACATACCCGAACAGTAAGCAAGTATTCAGAAATTTACAAAGAAAATAATGAAATTCGGAACATTTCTTAGATATTAATTTTTTTTTATTCAACACTTTTAATAAATCATTTAAAACTTCTTTAACCAGTTGCCTGCCAGAAATCAAGTCGTGACGCATTTTCGTGACTATACGATAAGTGGGTGGGGTAACGTGCGCAGAATTATCATCAATGCTGTCGTACTAATGCTTGGAGAATCCTTTATCTGATGTTGTCTAAACGACCTCTTATTCTTTTAACCGATCTCCTTTTGAATTTAGAAATATCTATTCTGTATTATTTACTCATTATTTACTTATAGCCGAAATTTAAACACATATCCGAATACTATTCAACTTGACATTCATTTGAAGAGTAATTATCCGTGATTATCTTTCATGGAAGCGCAAAACGATGCGCACAGAAAACTACCGAAAACGTCTTTAATCTGTTGTCTAACCAGTCCTACAAGTTTCAATAATGTATTATATTAAGGAGGAGTTAGAGGTGTGGTTTGCACTCTGAATTTTAAAATATCTAGGTTAGTGAAACAATGCCAACGTATAAAAAATGGCGAGGTCAGGGGTTTCTAAATGTGAGGATACAATCAAGTAATTTATTACATAGATAAAACATGTGGGACACGCAAAGACAAATGATTACATAGTAACTTTTTTATATCCTTTCAATTCTTAAAAATGTCTGTTATAAATTGCTGACTCTTTTAAACTTTATATTTTCTAGAAAAAGTAACCAAAACATTATTTTCTTTCACTTGATAGGAATTGCATTAACAATCCTTGATATTAAGATACAATAATTACATTTTTGGCGAAAACTCATTGAAAATAGACCCCTCCACCTGTTAACCTAAATTTTTGACACAAAGAAAAATAAAAAAATGAACTGTTTTTCAATTGACCAAATCAATAAGGATTTTAAATGTTAGTGAATAACTTGAAGCTAATAACGAGTTTGTATCAATTAATAATCTCTTATTTATTGTTCTCACATTTTCAATTTATTTTAAAAGGATTTACACATTTCATTAACTCCAATATTTTTACCTAATTGCATCGTTTCCTCGCGTTTTTCAAGTCATTTTATAGAAACATGATAGTCTTACTGTAGATAAAGGTATAAATTCTGTGACATTTCAGTAAAAATGTGCCTGATTATATGTTGAAAGGGCCATTTATTTAGCTTAGTTAGAAACTTGACAAGGTGTAGACATCTTGTAGAGCGAAAGGGTGGAGCTATCGCGTGATTTAGATAAATGCCTTGTTTATGGTTGAAAAAAATAATGTTGATCATTAAATAGGTTAATGTTTAATAATACGCATTAACAAAAATAATTGGTCGCCTCCCATCTATTTTTTGAATGTCCATTGTGTAACAATATAAGGTCATTTATGTTAAATATGTCATGATAAAGAACAGATTCTCTTAAAATTTTATTTTTTCATGTTATCAATAAAAACAGACAAAAGAAATATAAATTGTGCAACATTTATACTGTGTAATATATAAGATTAAAAGAGCTTTTTGTAGTTAAATTATTGAATTATTTAATCCTTTAAATTTATTGTTGCAGTTCGTCACCCTTGTTTAATTGTATTGCTGTTTTGTGTTTATTCGACCAGTGGCCTATATTTCTTGAAACAAAAGAACTTATTCGATGTTAACCGAAGTATTGTGCTTTTGCTTCCTCGGTAGGCTCCCAGCAGGATGCGTTGGAAACTTTGCCGGTGAAGCCTTGCAAAAGAACATCCGCTTGACATCGTTTCTGTAATTAATTTAAACAAACTGTGTTTATTTCTCCATCATGTGTTGTTTGTTTAAGAAGACATATTACGTATTCCATTATGTGGTAACTATATTGTACTTACTCGTATAACTAACCAAGAAACAAAAATTAGCTCAAACAAAGAAACGAAATATACTGCATCAGAACAAAAATGTTTTAATGTTAACAATGACACCTAAATTTAACTTATTAATGTGTGTCGAAAGCTAACAGAAGCATAACTTATGAATGAACAATTGTATATTGAGTACTTGTTACAAAGATACTTCAGACGACAAAGTGATAATAGATCAAACAGTTCTCAGGCTTTATATCATACAAAGAATTCATACATGATATTAAGTAATTAAATGATTTTTGATATACATTAAGAGAAAGTGTTATGTGCCATAAATAGTTCAAAGGTCTTTTACTACACGGTCTACATGAAAAAGTTGCATGACGTATTTCTAGTAAGAAATGATAAAATGGTGCAGAAGATAGCGTTTCTTTGTAAGAGGCAGATCACATACAGAATCATACTTTGATTGGTTCATTATATGATCCTAAAGTCCATCAAATAAACCAACAAACTTTCACTACATATGAAATATAATACAATTAACAATACTAAAGAGGTAACTTTTAACATACCAATATTCCATACTGACATCTAGCTTTGAATATGACCCGGTATTCGTCGTTTGGATGTTGAACCTGTAAAAGGTTTAATGAATTAAATTCCAAATATTTTAATATTTGGTTTTTCATTTTTAGTACAAATTTTAACATGAGTATTAAACTGAAAGATAAGTTTCTATGCTAATGAGTTTGGGCTTTCGGGAAGAAATATCTCTGTGAACACAAAGCGTTAGAACACTTGACCTGTTAAGAAAGAAACTATTGTTGCCAATACAAATCCATCACCATCTATTCTAACTTTTGTCACGCTAAATATGTAAAACTTGACTACCTGGACAAACACATTCATTGTTTTTAAGAAATTCATAAACAGCATGAACTGAATGAGCAATTTACAGCGCAGACTATGGTAAGATGTTGTGGTAAGCAGCTTCACAGATTGAAGTTCTAACAAATCAGTTAACAAGGTTAAAATATATGTTAACTATGTACTAATATTTATAAACATATCAACATGCTCCGTGACAGGTATTTAATATGGTAACAATATTCGTCATATTATTTCAAACGTCTTTTCATTACCTTGTTATGTTTTTGAAACGTCTTTCATTACAAAAAAATCTTTAAACAATTTAGCAATATTATTAATGTACTTATCTAGACGATATAAAAGTTAAGAAATGAGACTTTAAAATGCTTGACTTTTATCATAAGAGAAATGTACGTTACAAACCAAAAGTGGTTCCTATTCTGGTGAAGACATATGAGCCGCACCATGAAAACAACATAGTGCGTTTGCGACTAGCATGGATCCAGACCAGTCTGATCAAGATACATGCCGTCTGCTTACAAACTCTATTACAAGAGGAGATACTGATAGCGAACATTTATTCACCACGCGGCTCATATATGTTTGCCATACACAAAAGTTATTGCTACTAAGTGAAAATTATACACTCTTTCTATAACATATGCATATTTCTAAATTGCTTCAATGTCAAAGTATGCAATTTCATCTAAATTGTATTTGTCATTGTTTTATGATTAAAAGAAAATAACTTACCTCCACATTTACCCATGCTTTTAACAGGCTGATATAATCAACTTCCAGAAATTCAGCAGCCGTACTTGCAGCTAAGATTGCTCTCTTTGCCAAAACAGAAATTGGTTGCCATTTTGTCGTCTGAGGTGAAGATTCAACACCAACACTCAACAAATAGAGGACGCTTACGAAAAGTGCCAATTTCATTTTCAAATTAAAACTGTTCAACAGGGAAAGCTGAATTGCAATGAATCTTGAAGGACTTCTGTTTATATGCAGTTCAGCGAATTCTCTGACAACTTAAATGCATTAAAATAATGATGTTTATGTCATTTCTAAGGTGTAACCAGAACTGTCATAATAGCAATTTCAAATGATTTTAAACAAAGTTTTAATTGTAGACCCAAAATGAAATTAAGAAATTGTTATAATTATCTCAAACGTAAAGTATGTGCCAAAGACCTTGAAGAATATAATAATTATTCATTTGCATAACTTGCACATCATTCCTTTGAGAATAAGAGCCTCTTGTTTTATTTTATATATTCGCACCTTTCTTTCAATTCTAAAGTTCTTCATAAGAATACGTCACTATTCCGACGTCATCTGAAGCTAACTAGTATCGTATGCACGCATATTTTTCCAAACAATTGAGTATTATACGGCCACAAAAACCTTTATATACTCCGTTGAATCATTGCAACAAGACAATGTCAATCACTGAATTAATCTGCGAGTATATTAGATGCATTTATGTATGGTGGCTGATTTGTGCCTTTTGTGTTTTCGCTCCGTGACCCCGTAAGCGAAAAAGTCAAGAATAGACAAGTTAAAATGGCGGGCGCGCAGAGCGAAAAGTCGCTAATGAGCGGGGGCGCGGGGCGAAGTTTAAGAAATAAAACTTCGCCCTGCGGGGCCGCGGAGTGACAGTTTTCGCCCCGCGACCCTGCCAAGCGAAAAGTCGAGAAATAAAAAGTTAAAATCGCGGGGGCGCGGAGCAAAAACACGCTTATTAGTAAGGGCGCAGGGCGAAGTTTAAGAAAAAAACGGCGGGTGCGCGGAGCTAAAACACGCTAATTAGCGCGGGGGCGGGGTCTTGATAAGCACTTATTGGAGATGTAATAAATGGTCACTATGCCCTAGAAGTACTGTTATACTTATTTTACAAAACTTTTATTTTTTTTATTTCAGGTGTTCTGTTTATTTTTTAGTTCATAGATTCGTTGTCCTTTCTTTAAATCTTTAAGTGCTGCAAAACTATATGCACTGCCTTTGTAAGGGGAACTTTTCATATAAACAATTCATTGCCGTTAATATTTTATGACCCTTGTGTGTTGAAATGGTTGAGCCTTCGCGAAATGTATATATTTTTACCGTCAATGTTTGATACTTACAAAATCACATTGTGCTTTAAAAGCAACACTGAAAGACATTTTGTTTAATGTAATGTGTCTCTGTAAAGTTAAACCGTTTGGTGGCTTCGTACTTAATGGACAAAATAAGATCAAGATTAATACAACGAACAAATACGGATACTATATATTCATATTATATAGTATAAAATTGTATTATATAATATATGATCTTGGTCTGTACTGGTCGGTCGTATGGGGTTGTATTAGTTGCGCCAAGCAGACTGTAAGAAATTAAAACAAATATATCACAAGGAGAAAATTCTTCACATATCATAAGAAAACTGCACGAAATTATTACATTCTTAATATTGCCAAATTTTTAATTTTAGAAACATACGTTTTGCAATACTATAAAAATATACATCAAGTAAATAAATGATATAAGTTGTTTATAAATAAGTTTCGATTTAAATGTAATCTAAATAAATAAATAAATAAATCGTGTTTTGAAACAGAATAGATTTACTCTACACAGTTCCATGCTTTTAATAGGCTTAAATATATTAAACTTCAAATATTAAGAGGCCGTACTTGCAGCTAAAATTTCCCTCTTTGACAAAGTAGAAACTGGGTGCCATTGTAGGCATGGAATCTATAGCAGCGCTCAATATACAGACAAAGATTATAAAAAAAGTCCTAGTTTGATTTTCCAAATACATTTTTTACAACAAAAAAGCCAAATCAAGGTGATTCTAAAAGCACTTCTAGGATTATATATATGTATCCTAGCAAGTTCGCTGACAGATTGAATGTCGTTTATGTCCTTAGAATTACAAATCATTTTAAACAAAGCCTTCATTGTCAACCTTACGTGAAATAAAGTATGTTGTTGATATTTGAAACCGGTTTGATTGATATGAAGACTCTTATCTTGTCAGGTTTAAATATTTGTACTTTTGTTACATTTCAAATGCTTTAAACATCTGTACTGTCTTTATTGGAGTAAATTTTACTATTACATGCTTTTTAGATTTTGGTAACTTCACAGTGAAATAATTGAACATAATTTTTACAGAAGCCGGATTATATTTGAATGCAGTTGAAAATAACGTTAGTGGAAATATCGTCAGACATAAACTCTGTCCTCCGAAACTGTGCATATAATGACAAAGAGCATTTGAAAATTTGCACATTTGATGTTAAAACATTTAACAAAAAATTTGACATTTTACATACAAGTAATTTATTTTCAGCAAGTATATTATGTCATAAATGATTTGGTGACACAATGAACCAATCGCAACTACTGGGCCCTTTCCGTCAGTCTTCGGATAAGGACCTCGAACACAATAGTATGAATACACAGAACGGATACGGTATTTCGGTCTAACCTACGCTAAGAAACTAGACATGTAAACAAATGGTAATTTAATGCTGGGAGTTGTTGACAAGTTTATTTCCAATATATCAAGTAAATGCCCACCTAAAATAAGTGAATTCATAGATACAAAAGCAAACAATACATTATTTGTATATTTATTATTAGGGTTGTAGAAACCGAAAGTACAAAATGCCAACCTGTTAACATTCAGTCGCATTTGTTTATAATTGTATACAGCAGTGGGTATATTCAAATTAAAAATGGTTGTCAGATATATTTTCAATCATAATTGTACCGAAACAGACTTAATTTTCTTTTTGATGTCAATCATATAAACATTCGTTTTATATCTCTCTCTTTATGTTTACATCTGAAACCACATGGTAGAACTACTTTCACGTGCACTCCGTATTGTTTCGGAGGTTATTATAGATAATAGCCGAGGTAGTTCCGAATGACCATGAACGAGAATACATGCCATTATGTAGCAATAATTTTTAAAAAGAATGAAATAGATAGAAAATATCGGACATTATATATAATGTAAATTATATAAATGCACTATAGTCTCATTCTGTGGGAAGTGTATTTTTAGGGCGTTCTTTAAAGTTTCATTTATACTTGACTTACCCTCTAACTACCCCCTTATTTATGCCGCCTAAATGTTCGATCCAATCATTTGTTTCGTGTTCGGTGACCATATTAGTTGACTTAATGTTGTTCCGGGTCACGTGCAAGAGAAACAGACGACATTTTGAACACGATTTAACAAAAACTAAAAAACCTTCTTCAACACATATATTTACTTACCGCAACGATGTTATTCCAGAAAAAACCCGTCGTTAGTCTAGTAAAAAATTGACGGAATTATCCGTTCTGATAGCCAAACATAAATCAGATAGGAATACATTATTTTCACCAGATACCGTCTCTTAACGCCAAATTCGGTCTACTATATCATTTCCATCTTGGGACCAATTTAATTATGTATAACACGTACTAATAAATTTTAATCAGCTTAGTGTTTTAAGAGAATAAAGCATTTTTAAAGTTTTTTTCTTTAAGTGCAAGTTTTTGAAAGAAAACAAAATATATCCTTTTTTTAGACTACATTCTCTAATCAGACATGACATGTAGCAAAAATTATTGCTATTTGCTGTGTTTATCCTGCAAGGGACTAAAGGCTGGTACTGAGTCCGTACATTGATAATGATATTTTTCCCGTCAAAACATGGCGGTTGGGCGAGTTCATTTAAGCATTCCTTATTGAAGTTTTTGACGTTTATTTTGTTATCATGTGGTACTGAATTATTCGCTTTGATTGGCTAAAGGCGGGCGGTGTACATGTAAAACTGTTAAAATCTTGTTAATTGTATATTTTGATTCTGAACAAAATGAACGTCAAAAACTTCAATAAGGGATGCTTAAATGGACTCGTCCAACCGCCATGTTTTGAGGGGGAAAAAACATTATCAATGTACGAACTCAGTACCAGTCTTTAGTCTCTTGCAGGATAAACATAGCAAATTGCATTATCTTTTGCTAAATGTTATTTCTGATCTAAAAAGGAGTATACGGTATTTTGTTTTCTTTCAAAAACTTGCACTTAAAGAAAAAACTTTAAGGATACTTTCTTCCGGGCGAGTTTAATACTATGAGTGTTGTTTTTGCAAATTATTAGGTATTATATGTATTATCATTATCACATAAAGTAGGTCAGTTATAAAAATAAAATATTATAAAAACATTGATTTTCAATTGTATTGTTTATGCTGTACATGAATACTTTGATTTATGTGACTCATAAGTAAATTGTTTTGAAACTTCGGTAAACCAGGGTATACAAATCTTTCATGTGGTAAAACAAAAAAGAACACAGATGTAGCTGTGATTCTGAAAGTATAACAGTTTTTATTTGTTTTGGTCGTCAAGAGTTCAAATCCAAGTTAAGGCAATTCTTGTTGTTGTTTTTTTAATTGTTTAAGCCAAATAAACATTGAATTGAATATCAGTGTTGTAATTAGTCTTATAACCAATTTGCTACAGTTATAACACTGGAAACAGCATTGGTGGCACTATACAATCAAAGCACAGAAGGCGCTGAATTTGTTTGGGTCTCAGAATGTCAGAAAGGTGAAGGTTGTGAGATTATAAAACAATTTGTTTTTGTAAAGTGCCACCAATGCATTCCAGCGTTTCAATTGTAGTAAATTGGCTATAAGAGTAATTTAAAATCTGATATTCAATCCAATGTTTATTTGACTTAAACAATTTGAAAAAAAAATGAGTTGCCTTAACTGGGATTTGAACTCCAGACCTCTCGCTTCCTAAGCGAGCGCGCAAACCCCTCGGCCACGGTGAATTTATTTGTTAACAGCCTGAAGAAAACTATATTATTCTATATTAGGGTTTGTAACGACGCTAACTGTTGTTTAACACAGATGTAAATAATCATGGAGCTTACTATAAGCATGTATATCTATAAAGAATAAAACAATATTAGAAATCTTCGACCATTCGGGAATTATTTTGCTTGAAAATTAAT